GGGTGATTAAGATGGTCTTGTTTGCAATATTTTATATGATTGAGAGTTTGATTTGCAACTCGAAATAATCCAAGAGGTTATTTTTCACTTTTTTAATTTGAGAGTTCAAAGGGTGGTCATTTTGCACTTTTGCCAATATACAATCCAATTATGAATCACATCCAATTCTCTTTTTATAACAAAGAATTAGGATCTTTAAGAATGAACATATATATATGGGTCCAGTGCAGAAAACACCCCTAAAGTATGTTTACGGTGCATATCACACCCCTCACGTGCAGAAAACACCCCTAAAGTTTTAATTTGGTGCAAATAGGTCTCTCTGACAAATTTAAACCCTAAGTTGACTAAATTACCCTTACTAAACCATTTTATAAAATATATAAAAATAAGTAATTTTGTAAAATGACCGAAAATAACACTATTAGATGATGTCCTCTCGTGCAAAAAACACCCCTGAAGTTTCAATCTGATGCAAATAGGTCCCTTTGACAAATTTAAACCCTAAGTTGACTAAATTACCCTTACTGTACTATTTTATAAAATATATAAAAATAAATAATTTTATAAAATGACCGAAAATGACATGAAGGATGCCGACAGTGGATAAGTAAAGATAAAAATATAAAAGTATAAAAGAAAAGTAAAGATTAAAATAGAAAATAAAAAACAAAAATAAAGTGCAAACTAAAGAAAACAAAATTTTTCCAAACCCCGAAAACTAATGCACACTAATATTGGGAAATTTTTATTTTTATTTATTTATTTATTTTTTGTTTAACAGTGTCGGTACAAAAAAATAAATAAATAAATAAATAAAAGTAAAAAAACATTTAGTATAAAAGAGTAAACTGGAATATCAAAAAATTCAATTCCTTGTTCTACAATTTCAGAAAGTTTAAAAAACAAAATGTTTAGAGATATATATAGAGAAAAAAAATTCAAAAAAATAAAAAAATAAGGTAATGTACGCAAAACACTCCTATCCTATGAGATTAGTAATATATATACCCCCTTGAGCATTTTCGGAAGAGTAAAAGGGCAAAACAGGTATTACAGCATTAATTTATGTTAGATGGAGTATTTTTGCACAATATGAAAAAATTATGAGTGTTTTTTGCACACTTTTTCAAATAGGGATAAAAATGTTACGCGGAATATACTTTAGGAGTGTTTTCTACATTTGTCCCATATATATATACATGTCTTTATTATACTTTTCTTTTCCTACATAAATACACAAGGAAATAATGAAGATAAATATTGTAAAAAAATCTTATTTATTTGGTTTAATCTAATTATGACTTGGTTTTTTTATTATTATTATTTAAAGTATTTAACTGAAAGTTTTCAATACAAAGATTAGTTTCATTCATTAATTTTATTTAGTGTCAGTAAGATTGATTAAGTGAATTATAAACTTTTTAATTCAAGGAGAGAATGGAAGATACACTAAAATGTGTACATCAATATAAATTTGTTTTGTTTTGTATAATTATTGTGTTACTTAAATATATGCACAAATTTTTTCATCAATTTGTATGAAAATATATTGCTTAATATGAAAACTCTTTAAACACCGTTGTAAATATATTGAATGAAGAAAATTATCAATCAAATATTAAATGAATATTTCGCTCTATTGTTGTGTGAACTGTTGGCCTAATTTACAGTAGTTGTTTTATTGTCATAGTAAGTGGAACCCACAATCAACTCGTTCTTTCCTTATTAAATTGGGTAGTTGAAGAAAATCATTGTAAAGGTTCATCATTTATCTTCAACGATACAGCCGTAAGACATACAATTTGGTGCATGGGCCTGGATCATTAATGGCTGCAATCAGTGGCGGTCCTTTCTTGACCATCCGGGCTATTTTATACTTTCTCCTATAATTGAAAAATTATTAAATGGTCTACATTTATTTGACACTTCGTGAATTAATTTAATAAAAATTCTCCGATTATAAAATTTTATAATTTATTAATACACTTTTACGAAGTTATTTATTTATATTTACTTGGTCCACCAAATATTAATGGATCAAGACCATCTAATAATTTTTTCCCAGAATTGGCTTGCACGGAAAGAAATTGATTCCTACTTGAGTTTTATTTAAGCTTTCTCAAAAGTTTTTGAGGATAACAATGCATACAAAGTTTGAGGATGACAATGCATACAAAGTTTTTACCGAAAAAGCTGAAATAAAATTCAAATAGTAATCAACCTCTTTCGGTCCAAACTTTTGAGGTTGACAATGCATACAAAGTTTTTACCGAGAAAGCTGAAATAAAACTCAAGTAATAATCAATCTCTTTCGGTCCAAACTTTTGAGGATGACAATGCATACAAAGTTTCTACCGAGAAAGCTGAAATAAAACTCAAGTAGTAATCAATCTCTTTCCGTCCAAACTTTTGAGGTTGACAATGCATACAAAGTTCTTACCGAGAAAGCTGAAATAAAACTCAAGTAATAATCAATCTCTTTCGGTCCAAACTTTTGAGGATGACAATGCATACAAAGTTTCTACCGAGAAAGCTGAAATAAAACTCAAGTAGTAATCAATCTCTTTCGGTCTAAACTTTTGAGGATGACAATGCATACAAAGTTTTTACCGAAAAAGTTGAAATAAAACTCAAGTAGTAATTAATCTCTTTCAGTCCAGGCCAATCCTAGGGAGAAATTATTAGATATATATATATATATATATATATATTTATTTATTTATTTATGATACTATCAAACTTTCTAAGAGAGAGAGAAGCAAGGAGATTAAGTAAATAAATTATCATACCTTATCCTACGCTTGATAAACAGAGTTCTAAATTTTGTCACGTGAGTGGCGAGTAATTTATGGTCCACCTTAGTATTAGTTATAAGAATATTAAATTTAGTTTTGAGGATGACAAATAAATGCATACAAAGTTTCTACCGTTGAAATAAAACTCATGTTGTAATCAATCTCTTTCAATCCGTGCCAATTCTAAGGAGAAATTATTAGATTTATATATATATATATATATATATTATACTATCAAACTTTCTAAGAGAGGGGGAGAGAGAAGCAAGGAGATTAAGTAAATAAATTATTATATCTTATCCTATGCTTGATAAACAGTGTTCTGAATTTTGTCACGTGAGTGGTGAGTTATTTATGGTCCACCTTAGTATTAGTTATAAAAATTATCATTATCTTATTGCAATTGCACTCCAAAAATATAAAAAAATAAATAATTGTTCTATCATTCCAAATATTTATAAGTGATCTCAAAATATTAATTATTGTCTAAGCAAATATACAGTTACATCTTAAATTTTCTTAACGTTGAATTTAAGAACTATGATCACTAAATACTTTTATGAAAGAATTTTAAATAAATAATAATTTTATTAGATAAATAAAAGGACTATAACTTACTACATAAGGTTGTTACAATTATGACACCTAGATGTACACACTCTTATATCTACATACAAAAATATTTTTTGTTTTGAATATTTATATTGTAATAAAACAATCTTAACATAAAATTGAGTAGAGTATACCTTTTGGGATTAAAAGCTTAATGCATTTAGTTAGATGAATCATGAAAATCATATTAACACATGCAATGATGTAGTTTGTATAATGGAGAGTTTTCTTGTGTATTTCAAGATGATGTAGTTTGTATAAAGGAGTGTTTTCTTGTGTATTCCAAGCTCCAGCGGACATTATTTAAAGTCAATTACTGTGACAGTTGAGACATATCACCAGGGATGGTAATTTGAACCGCGTTAATGGGTACTCAGCTTACCCCGTCCTGTTTATAGCAGTTTTGCAAGATCATTTAGTTTATTTGAGCAGGGATAATTTTTGTTAATTAAGAAGATTTATCGGCTAGTACACTCCATTCGATGAAAAAGTTAGCCGCAGCGGCAAAATATACCAAGATGATGGTCCTCGTAAATTAGATGACCAACCCGTCCACGTTTCTTCAAAAAGGTTATTCCTTGCTAGCCCAAATGAGGGCATAGGGAGAGCGATCCACACAAGGATCTTTATGATCGCTCATTTCGTTTAGCCACAGAACTTAAAGCATGGGGCATACATTTCAGGCCTACCACCACATTTTCTTGGACGGACTTCACTTTCACTTCTCGGTTTGGCTACGGACTGCTCACACTTCCTCAACTCACATTTGACTCGGGAACAAAATACTGCCTTCTAAACATGATGGCTTATGAGTTGTCTACCCTGTCTGCAAATGAGGAAATGGATGTATGCAATTACATCTATTTTATGAATTCACTCATAAATGGAGCTGAAGATGTGATATAGCTGCGAACACATAACATCATTCATAACTTCTACAGTATTGATGAAGACGTGGCAAAAGCATTCAACTCCATGGCAATAGGAGGTAAATATCATTCCTTCAATGGACCTACCGCAACTTTTGCACAGGTTCTGACCTTCTTTTTTTTTTTTTTTTTTTTTTTTTTTTTTTGGATAACGCAGTGAAACAAGGCCCCTTAGTGACCCCACCCCATGGCTCCAAACTAGGTGTAATGTAACACAGCCCCATAACCACACACCGGATGAGTCGAGAATATAGGAGGCTTGAGAGGTTCGAACACTGGTTGTGGAGTGCAAGCGCCGAGTTCCTACCATCACTACTACGCCCCCGGGGGCACAGGTTCTGACTTTCATTCAAACATTTTTTAATTAACCCCAAATAAATGAATTTATTTTGGAGTAAATTTGATTAATATATATATGTATATATATACATACTCCTTGTAGCAGGTTCAAGGACAACATAGGAGCTGGATAGATTCATCAATCGATCAACTGATCTGCGACAAAGAGTCAAGTTAATTCAAAAATAAATTCATTTATTTGGGGTTAATTTTGCTAACGAGGAAAAAATGTTTGAATGAAAGTCAGAACCAGTGCAAAAGTTGTGGCAAAGAAAGCCACAACAGACTAGGGATTGCTAAAATTGTTGTAAGCCACAACAGACTAGGGATTGCTAAAATTGTTGTTCCATAGTTGAGCCGTCGAAGTCTTCATCCTGCTATTGTAATGCTTTTGTATTCCATCACTAACATCTTTGATAGGTCCATTGAAGGAATGATATTTACCCCCTATTGCCAGGGAGTTGAATGCTTTTGCCACGTCTTCATCAGTGCCGTAGAAGTTATGAATGATGTTATGTGTTCGCAGCTCGATCACATCTTCAGCTCCATTTATGAGTGAATTCATAAAATAGATGTAATTGCATACATCCGTTTCCTCATCTGCAGACAAGGTAGACAACTCATAAGCCATCATGTTTAGAAGGCAGTATTTTGTTCCCCAATCAAATGTGAGTTGAGGAAGTGTGAGCAGTCCGTAGCCAAACCGAGAAGTGAAAGTGAAGTCTGTCAAAGAAAATGTGGTGAACGAAACGAGCGACCATAAAGATCCTTGTGTGGATCGCTCTCCCTATGCCCTCTTTGGGCTAGCAAGGAATAACCTTTTTGAAGGAACAACGTGGACGGGGTTGGTCATCTAATTTACAAGGACCATCATCTTGGTATATTTTGCCGCTGCTGCTAACTTTTTCATTGGCTGGAGTGTACTGGACGATAAATCTTCTCCTTAAAAGATCTAGTAAATGAAGGGGTTGTTCTTTCTCATGCTTAATAGTTCGTTTGGTCCACGTTGCATTGGTATCTATGTACGTTGAAGTCATGACATTTTCGATCCATTCCTCCAATTTGCCTACTGGAGAACCGGTACTGCTAATCAAGGCCTGGAGAGCTAGGAAAGGAAGTTGGTTTTCGAGCAGACTGATGTCCGCAATTATCCCACGATAACCAGCAACGCCTACATGATTAATCACATCCCTGGTGAAAGTGGATCTACTCATGAAGATCAGGAGAAAACAACCATCAAGCAGCATCATACAGGCGAATGTTACGTCGTCATAGGCGTCTGTTGAGCCCTCAAGGTAGCAGTTTCTAGCATCGCTCACCACTTCTAACATCTTATTATAGATTTCACGGGGTTCTACGTTGGTGTCAGCTATGAATGAACGAACCGCTATGGTCTTCAACTTTTCAGCTTCTTTCAGCTCAGGATTGCCATGGTGTTAGGGACCGATTGAAATGAATCTACGATAAAAAAAATCCCTTATTCTGCTCCTTCTTCCTTAATTCTCGTGGAACCTTCTGTAATTGCTTGAATGAAGACGCATTGGGTCTCTCTTCAACAATGGATAATATCCACTCATCATCACTAGCTGTGAGTTCAACACCGGATTTATGACCAGCTTCTTTTCCAACCTCTCCCCAATTAATTCTGCTCAACTCATTATCAGCTGTAATGTCAGCACCCAATTCACGACCAGCTTCTTTTCCAGCCTCTGCCAAATTAATGCTACTCATCTCATCATCATCACTTTTGGCCATTTATTGCTCCGAGCTTAATTGTTGCAGCTCGATCGAATTCTAGCAGAAATTTAAAGAAGATCGAAAACTTGAGTAGCTCGTATGACAACTCATTATTTGGAAACGAAAGTTAAATTCTAAGTCGACTTTAATTCTGATCTATTGACTTGGAGCAGTCTAGCTCCATATTATGAACCGCATGATATATACATAAAATAAATAAAAAAAACAGGACTATTTATCACGACCACAACTTGTTCAATCAATAGTTAAAAGTCTTGTTCAGAACAAGTATTATTTTGTGTAAATATACATAAATATACCCAACTTGTTCAGAGCAAGATGTGGGTAAGTTACAGGGCAAATTACATAAAAACCTTTCAATTTTGAACTTTCGCGGGAAAAAAAAAAAGTTGACATAAAAGCCCCCTAATTATCCCAAAGTAGTGTTATAATGACTAATTAAAATGCCTCTTAATACAAATTTTTTTAAAAAAATGTGCCTCTTAATATTAAATTAAAATTAATAAAAATAATTCATTTGGTATTATGTCATTTTTAAAAATTTAGTTTATTTAATGGTGTGTCTAAAACAAAATGAAGGTACCTTAAAACAATTTTTCAAAATTTTCTTAAATTTTTATTTTTAAAAAAATAAAAAGAAAAGGAAAACCTAAACTGAAAATCATTTTAAAGTAAAGCTAAATTTTCTTTAAGGGATATTTTCATCCGGCCATTACTTGGTTAAATCTGAAATCAAACGGATACATGGGAACTCTCAATTCAAACAAAATCGATCCGTGAAATAACAGATTGGATCAGTTTGGTTCCCACAAATTGGGCTTTTTACAAAAAAAAAAAAACCCAATGATGTCTCGAACTTCAAGTTCAGGCCCGGAATATTAGGATCTTTGTCATTTGCCAAGCAAACAATGTATAATGTGTAATTTTTGTAATTGCAGTAATCAGGGTTAGTATATAAAGAAGTAAAAAGTGGAAGAAATCATAATCAAGAGAGAGAGATTCACGAAAGCCTGTAGTCCTGGACCAAGGTTAACCAAAAAAAACAAAACAGCCTATAGTTCATAATTACGGATCATGAAGAAAATGATTTTTATCGCAAAACAAAAGGAACCAAAAAAAAAAAAAAAAAAAAAAACAGAAACAGAGAACTAGAAAAGGAATTAAAAAAATGAAAAATAAAGCCCAAAATTGAAGGAAAAAAAAAAAACCTAAAATAAAATAGAAATAATGATATAAACAATGTTTGGAGAACGGATGACGAACAGATCGCAAAAAGAAATCCCAAAATTGAAAAAACTAAAACGAAACTGAAATCAAATGCAAAATTATAATTTTCGTCTTACAATCCTGCATCATTATAAAGAAAGAAAAAAGGATTTGCTGAGAGAAGAGAAAAAGAAGAAGAATCCATGAAAAATTAAAGCTTGTGAAACTCACCGGAAATCAGGTAGATCGGTCGCCGTTGTTTCGATTTATTGTAGGTAGAACGATGGACTGATGATGACTGATCCAGATTGTAAGATTTGAGATGTTATTGTTTCTGAACTTTCTTCAATCTTGAAATCAAGAGAGTCGAGAGACTATAATCCGATTATATAAATGAAAATTTGAATTAAAACAGTAATATTAGCGATCAAAATTTGATTTTGCAGGTGATCCGTAATTATGAACTATAGGATGTTTTAGTTTTCCAGAATTTTTCATGGAAGGGTTGGGTTGATTTTATTCTGTGAAAATTTAGGGCTAGGGAGAGGACTAAATATCCCTAATCTGCGCTAATAACTTCATAATAATTAATATAAACATTCAACCAAATATACATATATTGAGTTGGAGCCTTTAAATGGGTTCAAACCATAGGTTAGGTTAAGTGGTCCGAGCCACTTTAACCATAATCCAATTTCATTAAGCCATATTAAGATTGATCGAAACCATTTGATTTGGATTGCACCTAATTCAGCATTTATATAGTATACATGTATTTTTGAGTCAAAGAAAGTATTACACAGAGGAGGTTCGCCGTATCCACGAGTTTGTAATGTTACTACTGGTGGATATAGACCATTGTATCCTGGGAGATAGACGCCACTAAGTCCGTTAGCACCATAGTGGGACGAATCTGTCTTGAGAACATAGTATTTAATACTAGCTTCAATTCAGGTTCTTTATTTATTATTATTATTTAATTGCTTTAATTTGCATATTTAATTAAATATCTAGTTGAATAATTAATTAATTATTTTTAGCATATTACAAATATCTTATGGCATATTAGTATAGGGTTAGTTATATCTTAGATGTCACATGAAGCATATATTTTACCAACAATCTTAAGACATATGAAGCATATATTTTACCAACAATCTTAAGACATATTCACGCCTTGTATAAATTTTAATATATGCTTCTATTTAAGATATAAACAAATAGAGATTATACTAATAGTTGAGATATAATAAAATAATGTATATACATTATTATACGGTAATATGTTAATTATTGATGTGTTCAATATTATGTGAAATTGAAGCATGTTATATAAGTAGATTATTGGATTATTGATATAATTCAATATTGGTTGAGTTAATTTTATAATATGATATTATGTAGTATATTATATTATCTTAAATTTGTGCCAACTAGAGGTGGAAAAAAGTAGTTCGTTACTTTTATCAATGATTGCACAAGATACTGCTATGCATATTTGCTACGAAGTAAAGATAAAGTCCTAAAAATGTTTAAACATTACAAAAATGAGGTTGAGAATCAACTTGACAAAAAGATCAAGGTGTTAAGAAATGATAGAGTTCGTGAATACAAAACATCATTTGTTGATATTTGTTCAAAACATGGTATCATTCACAAAGAAATAATGAATGCTATGTTGACAAGTTCTGGTTTAACTCATAATTTGTAGGGGGAAGTTTTGCTTTCCGAAAATTATGTTATCAATAAAAAAACCTCAAAAAAAACTAATGTGACACCATATGAAATATGGAAAGGTCGAAAACCTTCCTATAAATTCTTAGAAGTGTGGGGGTGTCTAACTAAAGTTGCAGTTCCTACTCCTAAGAAAGTTAAAGTGGGACTTATAATGTGGTGACCTTATGTGTGGATGTGCCATGGGTGAGTACAAGAGGCACTGACATGCTACCACACTAAGCGAGCTACAAGTGCACAGTCCCACACCACCTACGTAAGGGAAAGGTGAAATGATTTTATGTGGTGATGTTATCTCCAATTGGTATAAGGCCTTTTGGGATACAACCCAATAATAAAACCGTGCGGGCTCGGACGCAAAGTAGACAATATCATACCATGTGATGGAGTGGATCGTTACATAAAACCTTTGATAAGTGATGCTTATAACGGTGGTGCATATCGTTTTCTTATGCATAAATCATATAATGAAAATAAGGAAAAACTCAGACGTAGCAAGATGGCTAAAACATCTAAATCATTTGGTCCTGATTTTCTAGTATGTTTATTGAAGAATGAGGCACAAAGCTTTAAGGAAACAAAATCTTCTTCCGAATATTATTATTAAATTATTTTTTAGATTAAATATCTAATATAATATTGTGAAGGCCCAATTTTTTAACCCTATGCGTTAGTGATGACCCGAAAGTTGATCTGGTAACGGGTCTAAAATACGGAAGTAAAAGATAAACCAAGATCTCTAGAGATAGAAGTCACCCCTAAGACACCAATGTGACCTTCCATGAGGTTATGAAACTTAAAAAGAGTAAAAGAGCGAACGAGAGTCAAAACGGGCAAAATTCGTCAATAAAGGGCAAAATGGTCAATTCACAAGTAAAAAGAGAAAATTGACTATAAACAAGTCAAACAAGGTGAATACAACCTAATCTAATCATTTCATAACATTCCAAGAGGTTCTAAGAACTTTGGCCAAGAATCCCACAAAATGCCCTTTCCTGGTTTAAGCGAAAACTGATACTGTCTCACTAAAACTTAAATAAGTCTCACTGTGATTTTAATCTGAGAATGGCATTGGTACCATTGGGAAGCTGACTCAAAATCCTTGAATTTAGGCTCAAGAATCACCCCATTTGGATTAGAAATGAAAGAGATATGACCGTTTGAAGTCGGAACAACAGTGCTGAAACAAAACTAAAGAGGCTGGAGTATGAGGGCTGTTTCGGTTAACCGAAATAGAGTTTCGGAAAACCGAAATGGACAGAAACTTTTCTGAAAACATAGTTTTAAGGGGAGGTTGTTTCGGTAGACTGAAATGGGCCATCAGTCGACCGAAATAGGCCATCGGTCGACCGAAATAGTCCTGAACAGTGAAAAAGGCTACTGGAAATAACTTTTTACTGTGCAATGAGTTTCCCAAAAGCTATCGGTCGACCGAACTAACATTTTGGATGACCGAAATGACTCGAAATGGCAATAAATGGCCTGCTATGAACAAGAATTGTTGAGGCTTTACCCAAGCCTCAAACCCTAACATGAATGTGATCCAAAAACATGATTTTAAACTATATAAGCATACCAACAAGTATACTTTAAGTGTTGAAGTGTGTTACAATGGCCCAATGCCTCATTACAT